CCGGCAATGGGAAGGTGTGACGAGTGCGGTAATAGACCGCACAAAAGTTGGGTTTCAGTACGCAAGCGGTTTCATTATGGAGGCCGGTGTCTTCGCGATGGCATTGTGGACTTTGGATGGCATAGAAAGAGACAAGTGTGGACCGTCAGCGACGACATGGAAGAGATGTTTGCTTGTTTTGCACGAGTTTGACGAAGGGTTTTGCGCTCTCGAGCGTGTGATACTTTCCAGCCGCGCGTAGAAAGGCGATACGGGCGGCAATCCTATACCGTGAACGGACTCGTAAATGCTTTTAATAATCAGAGAAATTAGTTTGAAGGCGTTCAGGATGTGCAAGAGCACACCAATGCGGATGGTCGAAAGAAAAAAGGTAAACCACAAAATTTTCGACAGGTTTTTGGCTCGCCGCCAACAAATTATATAGTTTTCCTCTCATTCCACGAACACTATCGAATCACAGCATCGACCTTCCAACTAACAGGGAGATGTCGTTTTCACTCCGCTCGATGTGAGATCTCATGGGATCGATATCGAAAGGGACACCACGTCACTCTCTAGAGCAAGCTCGATGTATACTAGGCCATCTCAACGATCTGCGACCTTTACAGCGCTCTTGCCTCTCCCGTGGAGGTTCTATTCGTGGGTCACACAATCATGCTATCCTCATAGATCACGCGTCCTAAGGACAAAGGACGTGACTCGCTACTTTTCTAAAACACGAGAATCGTGCCTTATAAAAGTCTCTGCTACCCTGGGTTGGTGGTCCCCCCTGCTCTCTTTGCTGAGATATCGCTCGATAATATCTATTGCTTTGGAGAAAGACTCGTGGTCCTAGAATCTCCGACCCAGGGTGCTTTGAAGAGTAAATGGAATAACCATTGTCGCCTTGGATGGCCAAGGAGTGGCTATCTTCGAATGATCATTTTTCAATCCGATTTGGATCCCACCTATGCTTCACTATTACTGACGTGTACTAGAGGTCGTGTCTACTTTACCCTGCCTATGCGCCAACCAGGGTTAGCGCTGGTGCTACCGCCACGAATGGCGCCGAGTCACCATGTTCGCGCACTGACTCTTTCTCTGCTATCCATCAGTGAGATCAGTGCCCGTATTCTAAGAGCATTCGCCTATATAAGCCTCATCCAGAGGATTAGTTGTTTCTTCGCCCTCTGGGCCCTTGGCTTAGATCAAGTGTAGTATCTGTTCTTTTTAGCTTAACCACTAAAATCGAGTGCACAGCGCTCTCTACTGGTTATTCTCATTTTTCTCTCTGCATCCTATTCGAGCTCTGCTTGCACCTCGGGTGGGGACGTTGGCCCTTGCGCTACACTA